ACAAAATTCAAATGAATTAAAATCTTTTTTACTTAAACACCCTTCCTTAATTTATACAACTATCATTGACAATTATTTGAGGAAAAAAAATACATATTTGTTATCTTTAATTTTTGAATTTTGAATGAGTAGTTTTGTATGCAATAAAAGTCTGTGTTCAACTGATCTCTGCAGTAAGACAAAAAGTTTATGCAGTAACACAAAAAGTCTTCAAACATCTTTGCAGTTTGTTCAAAAAAAATAAACTGATCTTCGCAGTAAGAGTCTTCTTCAGCGTTTGTGTTCATCTGATCTCGGCAGTTAGAGTTTTATTCTACAGTCGATTTACTTCTCCGGTGATGAATTTATTCGAAAAAGGAACTGAAAATACCAATCGCCGTCATTGGCTTAAAGATTAGTTGTTAATAATTATATATCTTCTTTTATTTTGTCATTTTTTTTGGGGAATTCCTATGTTCGATTTTGTTTAATGTTTGTTCGTTGTTGGAATGAAGGGAAAAAAAAACTGCATTTGGTTTTAATGGGTGTAACTATTTTTTGTTATAGACATAATAAGTATATTTCTTCTTTTATTCGGTCATTTTTTTTTTGAAAATGACTATGTTCGATTTTGTTTTATGTTTGTTCATTGTTAGAATGAAGGGGAAAAAAACTGCTTTTGGTTTTAATGGGTGTAACTATTTTTTCGTATAGACATAATAAGTATATTTCTTATTTTATTCGGTCATTTTTTTGGGAAAATTCTTATGTTCGATTTTGTTTTATGTTTGCTCGATGTTGGAATGAAGGGGAAAAAATTGATTTTGTTTTAATGAGTGTAACTGTGTTTTAATGGGTATAACTATTTTTTGATGGGTGTAATTATATTTTTAATTGGTGTAACTATGTTTTAATGGATGTAACTGTGTTTTAATGGGTGTGACTGTGTCAATACAATTAATTTTTGAATATAAACAGTTTGCAATTTGTGATCACAAATAATTACTTAAAATAGTTACGTAAGTATTTTTAATCAAAAAATCAAACAACACATATTATGGAAAAAAAAATTAATGAATGACAAAAACAAAAATGAATGTCACTTGTAATTTCCAATGAAGAAGTTGCCGAAGATGATTCACAATTATTTGACCGTAGGACACGATGAACAGTAAGTCGTATTCTTCTTTTTTTTGGACGATGAACAATAACTTGGATTTCTCTTTTTTTTTTACGATGAACAGTTACTAGTACTCTTATTTTTTTTGGACAATGAATAGTAACACAGGTTCCTCTTTTTTTTGGACAATAAACAATCATAGTTCTGGCATTTCAATCCCTCTACCGAAGAAGATGGGTTTTTATAATTAAACCCCAATTTTACCTCCCGCTATTATGATTATATTTTTTCTCTTTGATGATATAATATTTGTCGCTGAAAATCAATGTATATTTTTTGTGACTAACATATTCTCGACGCCAAATAACATGAACAAATTTTATAAATGGATAACACGACATGACTCTTTTAATCAGTTTAATTTTAAAAAAATTATATTAACAAATTTTAATACTCTATTTTTTTTACTGTCAGTTGTACTTACTTAAAAAAAGAGGAATTTCTAGTCAAATCTCACATAAAAATCATACTTTAAGGCTAAAAAAAATAGGCAAAAGGCTACTGCCTTTTTTAGGCAAGTCAGCCCTTCTCATCTCACTTCATTTGTCAATGTGAGACAAAAACAAAAGACATTGATTTACTTTTGTCTTTGAACTGCTCCCCATTTCCATATCTCCCATTTTTTTGTTTTTGAACTACTGCTTTACTCATTTTTATTATTATTGATTTTTTTACATCTTTATTTTTGGCTAATTTTTTAAAATAATTATTAATTAATTTTATTTAAACGGAAAAACGTAATATTTGTCGTAGAATGTTTTTTTTTTTTTTTGCGACAATTTTTCTTGCACATCACAAAAAGTTGTCGTAGTAAAATGTTTTTCTTGTAGTGATATTCTGCGACCAAATATAAATTGTCGCAAAACAAAAAAAATTTTAACTTTTTTTTTCTGCGACAAACATGTATTGCCGCAAAGTATTATTATTTTTGTTTTCTTATTTTTCGTTATTTGACAAAAATTTTGCAACTGAAAAATTATTTTGGCGACAGTTTTTTTTGGAGGGAACGTTGTTGTGAAGACTATTGGCGACTTCTACAAAAAATGGTAGCCAAAAATATCATAAAAAAATTTACCACAACAAACATTTGAAATTGTCGCCGAAAATCACTTTTTTACAACAAATTTTATTGTTTCTCGCCAAAACTCGTTGCTAAAAAATAAATTTGTTGTAGTAATTTTTCCAAAGTTGAGAAATACATAATATTTGATTGATAAAATTTAAAAAATCGAAATCCAATCTAACCCTGACAAATGAGACACTTGGAGAATAATTTGGATTAATAAAGTCATACTTTTTGAACTTATCGACGGGTTTAAAAAGATAATTAAGAAGAAGAACGATAAAGTTTAACATAAAGTGATACATAAAGAATAGAGAAATAAGACAGTTGAATTTTTAAAAGATAAAGAAATGTGATCACTGGACATTTGATTAAGAATTTGAGTTTTCCTTCATTTGTTATAAATCTATATTACTTTAAAATATCATAATATATGAAAAATAATTTTTTTTCTCATTTTTACCCTTCTACAAGAGAACTATACCATGATTATCCTCTAAATATTAATGCCACAAGGCACCTAATGTCTGTTGTCATTCTCATAATAAATCCCACCTGATGTGTCTGTTCTTATTCTCCACCTCGCTGTTCTTATGTCGGTCAGCCTATCTTATTTCTCCTCTCCATTTTCGGTCTCTTCGCCCTCTTTTGTCTTTTTCTCCTTCTTGCTAAAAAACACATAGTAAGTCTTAGAGAACTCATTCAAGACCACTCTCAGCTCCGATCAGAAGCTGCCCTTCAAAGTGTAATATTACCATTTACCACTATAATTGTTTTTGGGTTTTTTTTCCCCTTTTTAGTACTTGATGCTGATATTTGATTTTCAATTGTTTTCCATTCAAATTCTGAGTTTTTCTGGCTTAGAGTTGTAGAGAGAGCTCCATTCACTGTTGCTCTTGAATTCGTTGATGAAGAATTCAAAGTCCATCCCAGATCAGCACTATCATCTCCAACGGTGACACCTCCTCTCTCTAATATATATGCATATTGGTTCCTATTTGATTCATCTACTGAGCCATATGCTTCTACCGTTATTGATTCAGGTGTGATGCTTAATAGGTCCAATCCTATGGCAAACTCATCTCAGGAGGAAACTGGTAATGGCCCTACTCTTGCAGCCTCACATCGAGTCTTTTTTATTTTACTGAGGATATGAGATTCATGTGCGTACAAGGGCGGATCTACTAGTGGGCCTAGGTGCCCCGAAGGCCAGAGTTCAAAAAAAAAAAAAAAAAAAGTTCTTCGAAAACCGGTATACCTTATTAGACTTATTTGACAAAAATTACATAGAACAAAATGTGAGTTAAAAAAACATAAATGCCCATTTTAGGGTCATTTAATTCAAAATCTCTTATCTTTAATGTACTTTGATTCATGTGTGTTTATTAATACATATAAATACGTATTTAATGCATCTTGATTTATATATATATATATATATATATATATATATATATATATATATATATATATACACACACACACACACACACATATATATATATATTTGTTGTTAAATCTCTTATTTAAATTTTGAATTATCGTTAATGCACCTTAATTCATGCATATTTTTTTTTTTTGAAAAATGATTTTGTTTTCAAATTATATTTAATGCACCTTGATTCAAGCTTTTTTTTTTTTAGAAAATGGTTTTATTTTTAAATTAATTTAATATCCAAATAATGTAATTGTATAACAATAACAATGTAATAATAACAGTGTAATAAATACACTGTAACAAAAACAGTATTCAGTAGGTTTGTGTATATGGTAACAAATTCAAAATGGAGATGGACTATTTTAAATGAAATTATATGAAACTATATGTTTGACAAAATATAATAGTATATTTTTGTGTAAATAGTTTGTTACACTATTATTGTTACATTGTTACATTATTAGTGTTACACTTTTATTGTTACAATGTTATTATTACACTATTATATTATTCGGATATTAAATTAATTTGAAAATTAAACCACTTTCTAAAAAAAAATACATGAATTAAGGTGCATTAAAAGATAATTCAAAATTTATGTAAGAGATTTAACAAGAAGTATATACATACATACATACATAAGTATTTATGTGTGTGTGTATATATATATATGTATGTATGTATTTATGTATATATAAATATATTCATAAATACATAAATATATATGTATATATATATATATATATATATATATATATATATATATATATATATATATATATATATATATATATTAAAGTTCTCCCATAAAATTAGGAGATGTTTAATGCACCACTTTTCAAAGAAAAGTGGTGCATTAAATACACATGAATTAATGGAGGGCAAAAATGTCACAATAAAAATAGATAAATTCAAATTATGTACTTGGATACAAATAAGTATCAAAATTAAGTACTTAATAACCCTACATTTTTTAGTGTGTACTTTTTGTCAAATAAATCTAATTTAGTGTATCCCTTTACAATTTACCCATAAAAAAATTTACCACTAAATACCAGCCCACCCCCACCCACCCAAAAAAAAATCCCATCCAACCTAACCCAGCCTAACTAACCCAACCCAGCCCACTTGCAAAACTTCCCCAAATCAATAGGGTCCCATCCCATCCAACCCACCTGCAAAACTCCTCTCTCAGGCGAGTCCCATCCCCAAATCTTCAGACAAGCAGCGATGCAACACATAGGCCTACTCTTGGTCTAATCCTTCCATCAAATCTCTGTCTCTAGACTCTAGTCTCTACAGAGATGGTGGTGGGTGAGGTGGTGCTAAACCCAAAGTAGAGATTAAAGTCTTCGGGTGTTGTTGCGGGGTCTATAACGAAAGATGAGGAAGATGACTGTGTGATTTTGGATGGTGATCCTAATAAACCAGTGGCAATAGAGAACGATTCGGGGGCTGATTCGGATGATTTGCTAGGTGTGCATGGGGGCGTGAAGCGAGAGGAAATTTTCACTAACAAGGTACAACTTTCGCTTTACGTTCTTCAGTACATCTCATTTCTTTGCCTTCTGGGTTCTATTGTTCTTGTGTGTGTCGGTTTTTGCTTTTGGGTAGCCTTAATATTGAGATGGAGTATACTTTGTATACAATATATACATGTTCAGAATAATAACAAAAGGAAAAAAGCATATTTGATAATTTTTCATTCCCGAATTAAAAGTGAATTTTGAGGTATCTTACTGCTTGAATCATCACAAATCACAGTACAAAAGAAGGATTTTCATTGTCATTGTGCAAATGGTGAAATTGATGCGAGGAGGATGTGAATGCATAGGCAGTAATATGAAAACTGTTTTTGGGTAGTAGAAAGCCTAACGTGAAAACTGTTTTTTTCCCTTTCAGAAGGTAGGATGAAAACTATTTTTTGGTATTAGAATGTTTGTTGTTTTAATGTATGCAGCTTTGTATGTGAAATGTGGTGATCATGTTAATGGCCACCAATTGTTCAAAGAAATGCCCAAAAGGAACTTAGTGTAATGGACAGCCCTCATACCCCAACGAGTTAACCAACCACAACCACCAGGTAACTCTCTATCTCTCCCTACTTCAATTTCTCTGCTACGCCAGCAGCCCACGGCCACTACCGCACTGCCTTCTGCCCTTCATCCTCTACTTGAACCCCACACCGACGAAGAGCAAACCTTTCTGGTATTTTTTCTTTGTGTTGTTAATTTTTGATATATTTGTGAACTTATTCTCATTTTTTCGGTTTCCTATGTGTGGTGGGTGAAATAGATTTTTGGTACTTTTGCGTTAGTCTATTTTGAACTTGAAGCGCGTTTTCAAATTTTCGAACCTCGGTGTGTCGATGATGAAGCAAATGACACTTGATTGGTTGGAAGGTTATGTGAACATGTTTGTTTACCAATTTCGTCCATTTATGCACATAAGTAAAATATTTGTTTTTGCTAAAAATAATTTATATTTTGTTAGTCATATGAATGCTTAACTTAGTCCAGGATAAAGAAAAATTCTGACTCCGCCCTTGTGTGCGTAGTCATGAAGACCAAGGGATCTTGACCGATGAGTAATATATACCTATCAATCACATGACGTCATGAAGACCAGGAATCACCAAAAGGCATGGAGCAATGTTAGATTTCTAGAACATAAGATTGGATACATTCAAAAAGGTATTGGATAAATTGCAGTCGCAAGTTATAGCTTTGCTACAGTCGCACTTCACACACACTTGGGTGTTTTGATTTTTTTTTTTTTAAATTTGTTTCTTTCATTAATTGTTATGATTCATGGTTAGTTTTGGGTGTGAATATGTATGATAAAATATTATGTTTTCGAAGAGAATTCTGTTAAATTTTATCTATTGAAATTTTATTTGTTACACAAATTATTTTGATATGAGATTTGTGTGTATAGTCATTACTACATTTGTGCACCGTTTAGTAAGAAAGATGAAAAGTAGGAAGGATGAAAAATAAGAGGGATACACTTTTTATCCTTCAAAGATAGAAAGTAGGAATGATACATTTTACTTCCTTTGTGTTTGGTTAGACGGATGAAAAATAAAAATGACTATTTTTTTTTGTACTGGCTAAGATTAAGGGTGACAATCGAGTTGTGTCGTGTCAGATTCATATTGAATTATAAAATTATAAACTTTTTATATTTATTGTTCGCGTGTCAGGTTATTTTAAAATTCATGTCGAGTTATAATCAAGTTCGTGTCATAAAATTTGTGTCGAGTTCGAGTCGTGTCATCGTATTGAGTCAAAAAATTTCACCCCTAGTTAAGATAGAAATTCATCCACTTTTCTATCATTCCTATTTTTCTTCCTTATCAAATATGATGTTTTATTTATCCCTTCAACTTTTCATCTTTCCAACTTTTCATCATACCAAACGGAGCATTAATATATTGCTGATAGTAATATGTTGTTGGTAGTGGTGTTGCTGAACAATTGGCTAAATGTTGAAATAGTAGATCTTTATATAAAAATAGGTAATTTTTCAATGTTTTAGCACTGTTTTATTTGATATGTCTTTTAACCAGAATTGCTATATCTTTCTCTTATTTCAGATTCTATGTTTAATTTGTTGATTATTGTTCAAGCTTTCAACTATGCTGTGGGGATTTGAATTCATTTCAAAGCTGTAATTGCAATGCTTGTTGGCAATGTGCTGCAACCAAATTAAGAGCGTGGAAGACTATTACCCTTGTGAAGAAAAAAAGGTTTCTAGAACTCTTTAGAGTTGTAACAATTAATGGCTTCACATAATCAGTTAATGTTTGATGAGATCATTGAATATAACCTCACTCTTTGGTGTTACGCATACCAATTATGTCACGTTCAAACAATAGAAAGAGTAATTTCAGGCGGATGTATTACTGAACACCAATGTTCTAGATAGTGAGGATATTTACTGTTTATGCCCTTGTTAATGAATTATAATATCAAAGTTAACTTGGAATGTAAGTGGGGCCATTTAATTTGTGCGATGCGTAATCTGCCCTTATCATAATTCTTCGAGGGTAGAAATGTAATTTCACAATGACCATGACACACAAATCACAACAACGCCAACTTGCACTGTACTTCTTTGTGAAAAATAACTAGCAAAACCAGTCTCAGCAAAACCATTATCAGCCTGGTAAAAAATAGATTATTTATTGAGACTAGAGAATTTATGAGGGATAAATTTTTTATGCCTTAGTCCTTTGCGGTTGTCAAAATTTAAACTTATAACGTTTAAATTGACAATTCGTCTCTGTTATCATTTGAGTCATCCCTTAAGAATTAAAGTAAAAAATAAGTTCAACTCAACCTAATCCATTATTGAAATCAGCGTAATAGACTCAATAGTTACACTCACACTAGATGCTCTAACTGTACTATATACATTGTCTCATACATTTTCTTATTAACCCCTTCGGCATTCCTATTGAGTTAGACGCTGGATCCTCCCGATGGTGTTTTGAATCGTGTTTCCTCCTAGAACGTTGGCTAACTTGTCCACCGCCAATCCTTCAACCCTCCTCAGAACTCAAGGTGATCACAAAATGAGTTTTTAGAGAATACCTTTAGCTGAAGCTTGAGAGATGATTATGGTGTTCACACAACACTCAAATACAGGCTTTTGATTAAACCAATGTTTGATGTACAAATTTTTAGTCAAAAGTCCCTAAAATACTTATGATTTGAAATGCATAGATCAAAAAGGCTGTTCTAGGTTTAGATGTCTCTCTTAGGTCTCCCTTCTACTAATCTAGAGTCTTAGGGTCTAGAATATATGGTGGGGCGACCTAGAACCGAGTCACTACAAGAAAAAGTAGTTTTACGTACAAAATTTTTACCTAGGAAATTATTTAAAGAATTCTTCTAGTGAAGAAAATTTGATTTCATCGGCAAATACTTCTACACACTCTACCTCTGCCTTCCTCACTACCAAATACTTCATGTGGTTGTTACAGAAATGACACTGAGAAGAGATCGGACCTGAGAACATCATCTTCCTTCAAATCGAAGCTTCCTTTCGAAGCAACTTCGAATGTCTACCGAAGCAGTCTGGCCTCTCTCGAAGGAGACTCTGGTCAGTTCCGTACCACTTTGATGTTCCAATTTATTCTTTAACTAAACTCTCTGCAATCTAGGAAGTTGTTTGTCATAGTGAAGTGACTGTTCTTTCAATGAGATCGAAGAACTATTCTGTAATGAATTTAGAAGTTTATTCTAAAAGTCTGTAATTAATTTAGAGGTTTGTAGAAGTGATTGGTTTCACATGCGATGTAGAAGTATGTCTCTTAGTTTATAGTGAGTTTGATTTTACATGTGATTCAAAGACCTTTTCTGTTATTTTATAGTGAAGCATCTTATATTAGTATCTTGTATTTTATGATTGTGGGGCAATTCTTTGGTTGTTGAGTGTTAGGATCTTGTATTAGTAGTTTGATTAGTTCGTTGGCCAAGAAACAAGTTAATCGGTTCATTGGTTGAATTCGGAATTTTAGTATGTTTAAGGTAAAAAGAAGTTAGTATTTTGTAGTTTTAAGTATTCACACACTGTTTGTCAAGACATTGCGGACTGTTACAAAGAAGTAACGTTTTACCATCAAGCATATTTTTTGGGAGATCTTATGATGGTGTTTTGACATAAAATACAAAATTATGAAAGCAATCGATGCATGTGTTGCTGGCAAGCTTAAGATCATTAAAAAATTGCCACGTGTCAAGATTTGAAGAAAATGCACGAAGCGGCCAACCACAGCTCTGGTTTGAAAGAGAAAATAATTGTCTGGAAGTTACAAAGCTATCGATATAGAAAACCATCGAAAGAAGTGGCTATAAAAAGAAGAAGAGGAGTTGAAGAAACAACTCAAACCGCCACAGGACCCATGACCAGGGCATTTAGGAGTAGTGCTAGAGTTAATCATTAGGAAGTAGTAAGTGTTGTAATCAAATACTATTAAATCAATCACTCTGTAACTTAATTCACTTGATTGAATTAATAAAAGAGTTTGTTTTTATTGATTCATTATTCTGTGTGTTTATTGTTTTAAGAATTTATCCAAAGAAGTCCTGACATAAGGCATTTGAACCAATCCACAAACAATCGCTTGAAAATTATTTTGGAAAGCAATAAACAGTATAATTGTATACTAATTATAATTTTTTAATAAAAAATTAGATTTTTATTTTTAATTAGAGTATTTTTTGTCTAAGTATAATATTTTAAACTGAAATGGTCTAAGTATTATATGTTAGTAGTATACTCTAAGACCAATCATATAGATGATGTTTTAGGGTTGTACTAGCAATATTCATTACTTAATTAAATAAAATGGCAAGTTTATTTATCATGTTTCTACTTTATTTCATTTTAATATACATGATATAGTCCATAGAGTATAAGTTAAGAAGATAGTTTATCAAGGTGTTGAGAAGAGGAGACCTATACTTCTTAGTACTTAACTCTTAAATGTTCCTAATCATAAAATTATTATTTGGGTACTACGTAATCCAGATAAACTAACATACACTATGTTTACTCATATTTGATATGAGATGACTCGTCCAAGTCACTAGTGTAGGGACACTGAAGCAAGTGTGTTGGTGCTTGTTAGAGAACAAGTACACTGAACGTGATCATTAACTAACGTAAGATTTTTTATATGGAGTTTTATATACATATCAATGTTAAATCCTAAAGTTATAGTTATGCAATTGATCATTAGACTTGAGACACCATGGTTGTCTTATGCATGGACTGCTATACTTTAATTATACAATTTATTCATATACTAACCATGTAAGTTGGATATGTATTGTTGGACATAGTTAGACATGCATGAAGACTTATGAGTGTACAGAATATAATCTATCATTCTTAGTAATTAAAGGGAGAATGCCCTATGTGATCTTCTGGGATTTGACTCAAAGAGTCATTGGCCAAGGCAGAATGACAATTAGAAAAGAGTTTTTAATTGATCATTAAGAGTCATAGTCTTAAGATCGAACACATAAGATTGAATTAGGGGTTTGACAGTAATTTCATACCCTAATAATTCAATTGGGGCATTGTTTGATAAAATGATTGAATTGCATGGCAACTATAGACTGAATAAGCTCTTTACCTACTTCGTGCTATCTGGAGGTTGATCATAATATGCTGCCAAGTGTCATTCATGATTAGTAGAAGCCCAAAGAATAAAATTAATATAAATCTATTAATTATTCTTTATAAAGGGAGAATTAGAAGAGTTCTAATTTAATCTAAATTAGAAAGAGTTCTAATTTGAGATGCTACTTGTAGTTAGTATCAAATGCCTACAACCGGGTATGCTTGAACCTATAGGGTCACACACAATAGAATTGATTGGAAACTAAAGGATAAAAGAGAGACAACCAATTAAGAGTTAATTGGGGTGAAAACCTAATTAAGAGTTAATTAGAGACTTTATTACAATTAATGTTAATAAAGGGGTTATATGTAATTATGAGATAATTACAATTTGACCCAAACTAGGATTAGAGCCTTTAAAGATCTATAAATACCTTTATATAGGAGATGGATACAAGATATAACAACTCTCTTGCTAGCACAGGAAGAACCCTCCCCTTCATTCTCTCTCTCTATTAGTTTATTAATGGTTGAAGTAGATCCTTCAAGTTTGTCAATTCGTGTGGATACCGATAGAGACCAAACGTTTGCGAGACTTGGGATAAAGATCAAATTCATATTTGAAGATTTAAAGTATTTGAAAATGCTTGAAGATTGTTAAAGGCACGTAGCCATTAATCTTCTCTATAGATCTAAGGTTTCTTGGTTTGTATTAAACATGAATAGATATTGGTATGAGGAATCAAATTATTATTTTAAATTCCGCTGCGTTTATTATATGATTCCTTTCATTATATGCCTATAAACTTTAGGGGTTATGAGTATAATTTATTAACGAATATCTTAACAGACATTGACGGTAGGAATCTAAGTGTTACGCGCGTACAAACCTTAGAGACTCTGTTTGTAATATTTCAAATGTCAGGAGGTTTGAATGATTAACTGACAAACCTCAGAGAGTCTAGATATAATTCTCCCTAAACATTTTAAACAAAGAATAAACAGTGTTTGGACCAATTAATTTTAAATATTTTTAAATAATTTAAAATTAGTTTTACCACCAAACTCAAGCTCATAAGTAGAAGGATAAAAAAGAAGTTTTTAAGCACTTTTAATTCACCATTCATAACGATTGTCATATGAGCACCAAGTATAGTCATTATCGTAGTCATAATCTAACAACATCACAAGGGATAATAATTGATTGTAAATGCATAATATTTTATAAGTAATCTATATAATAAAGTAGAACGATTTTGAATTTTGGAAACAAAGAGTGGTCCAGACGATTTTGAATTTTGGAAATAAAGAGTGATCCAGATCATTTCGTAACCAAAAAAATCATCATCTAACGGACGGCGTTATCTCAAATTGTCTCAAGTTATTGTCGTCTCAGATCATTTTGATTCAACATAGAACCTTAGCTCTTTTGAAATATTTTTACTGTTCAAAATTTTTAGTTTCCAAAATTGACACTCCAACATTGAATTCATCTCTCAATCTCGTCCAAAATCAATGTCATCTAAATCTAAAATTAACGTTCATATTTAAATTTTGACCCCCCCCCCCCCGCTCATGCTGCTCTAAATAATTTTCTTTTCATAACAGAAAAATGATTTTTTCACATCACAATTTCAGAATATTCAATATAATGATGATACTATATTATTTACTCTGCTCTCTTTTATCACCTGCATCTATCTCGATCTTTTCATCCAATTATTTCTGGTATCTCCTTTCTCCTCTGCCTCCCTTTCTTTCTCTCTTTGTTCATTCTCTCGATCTTTTCCCCCAACGAATAGTCATTCAGGCCCGGCCCAACAGTATGGAAAAAAAAAAAGCATGGGCGTTGGGCTCTATAATTTTAGCTACATCACTAACCCACAAAAAAAATTAAATCCATTAAATTTTAAGTCCTACAAAAAAGCTCCAAAAAATTAAATTCAATCAAAATTTTTATTGCAATAATTTGGGCCTATAATCTAATCCGTAACATTAAAAACTTAAAAATTAAAAAAAAAACTCAAAAGTCAACTCATATTTACTCTCTCTCTCTCTCTCTCTTTCTTTCTCCATCCAATAAAAAAATAAAAAACAAAAAAAAAAGTTGAAATTAAACATTCTCTCTCCTTCTATGTGGTAAAAAATAAAAAAAAAAGTTGAAATTTTTTTCTCAACAATATTAACACATCTTTCTTTTATCTCCCTCTCACATAAAAAATTAAAAATAAATTAATTTTTTATAAAAAATAATACTAAAAATAAAAAAGGCCTCCATTTAATATTTCTATTTTAGGCATCAAATTGGCTTAAACCATCCCTATAGCCACTGGTGCCCTTTTCTCTTCTCTATTTTTTTCTCCTCAACGAAATCCTCTCTCTTCACAGCTACACTATGGAGGCACCATTGGAGACACAGTGATCAACCATCAACAATCTTGAAGCCTTACCCGGGTATCCCTCCCCACTCTTTCTCTATCTCTCTCTACATATGTTTCCCCTCTACCACTGAAACTCATAGCAGCCCACCAAATACCATATATATCCAAAGTTAAACTCTTACCTGCAGCCAACTAGTACCTCCATCCCTTTTCCTCTCTAGTCCCAACCACTGCCATAGAAACCTCCCTAGCCAACAAACGTCTCCCCGCCCCTGACATGCACACACTGCTACCGAAACCCACCATAGTCACCGAAACACCAAGTGTTTGTATTATTGCTTCAATGAGCGGGCCAACATTATCCTTATTTTAGCGAACTTACTTTGTCTGTTGCAACGACCATTTATAGCATGACGATGCAACTCCAGCGATCAACAATGACACAACTCCAACGGGACGATGATCTCCTAAAAAAGTGGTTTATTGGTTTGAGATTGTTATTTTTTTTTTAGTTTTGCATATTTTTAGGTTATTTACAATCTTTTTCTGTACGTTCTAAAATATGAGGACCTAAGATTGATTTAGGCTAAG